GGGGAATCCAGTGTGCCCTGACCCTGGGGGTGGGGGAATCCAGTGTGCCCTGACCCTGGGGGTGGGGGGAATCCAGTGTCCCCTGACCCTGGGGGTGGGGGAATCCAGGTGCCCTGACCCCAAAAGTGGAGTGAATTTTGGGATACTCTGACCATCCAGCGGCCTGGCCACCCCTGAGGGCTGACCCCACCTCTGCGCACCAGGTGTGACATGAGGACCTACATGTGAGTCCCACCCCTCTGGGTCAGACCCTTAAAGGCAGCATTGGCGTGCCTGGTGTGCGGAACGGGTGGGTGTGGCCCGAGCCTGCTTACGAGGGCCACCGTGTCAGAGACACTGTCGCTCGCCTGCCTGCCTCCCAGGGACCGCGTCTTCTCGGGCGCGTCAGCCTGTCGGGGAGGAGATGGGAATCAGCTTGTGCTCAGCTACAGGTGCCAAGGCACTGACTTCTGGGCTGGGGATGCTGGGGCTCAGGGGAGGCCCGGGGCAGCTGCGTGGCAGTGTGCTAGATAGCAGGCGCAGAGTGGCTCCAAGACAGCTGGGCAGGGCCCCGGGCCCAGGCCGTGCTGGGAGATGTGGGCCACACCACAGCCCAGTTGGACCACGGTCTGCTCTGGGAGATCAGTGTGGCCCCACTCACCGGGCTGGGGGGCTCCCTGTGGCTGCGGACGCTGTGGATGCTCCCGATCTCCGTCTGCGAGCTCGAGTGTGACAAGCCTTCAAAGTACGGCCTGGCTCAGGGAACAGGGGACGGGGAAACATTAATTTCCAGGACCCTTCTTGCACTGGAAGCGCAGTTCTCCCACCACACCTGGAGGGACAGACTGGAGAATCCAACGGCAGAGTAGAGCTGGCTCCAGAGCAGAGCCCATGTCAGTGCACACCCTGCTCGCGCCAGCCGCAGCACAGGGCACAGAACAGTTCTGGAGCTGGCAACGCCAAGCCCTGGGCCGACCTGGCTGCCCCTTCCTGGCTCTTCCACCCACCCTGATATCAGCTGCAGGAAACACACATTCCTGAAACTCATGGCCTTAGCTCCAGGCAAGGCTGCCAGAAACATGAAGGGCTCTGGGGAGAGCTCCATGGGCCAATCCTGCTGGAGGGCAGCCCTGGGATCTGCAGTCAGCCTGCAGCAAACAGGCGAACATGCTCTACAAAACAACGAGGGCACATCAGATGAAGCAGGCCCTTCCAGACCCACCAGCAGATCAGACCACCCAGGCCCATCCAGGTCCTTCCAAACCATCCAGGCCTGTCCAGACTATCCAGGCCCTTCCAGGCTCACCAGACAGATGCAGACCACCCAGGCCAACCCAGACCATACAGGCTTTTCCAGACCAACCAGGCTCATCCAGGTTCTTCCAAACCATCCAGGCCAACCCAGACTATCCAGGCCTTTCTGGACCACCCAGGTCTTTCCACACTATCCACACTGATCCAGGCCACCCACGCCTTTCTGGAAAACCCACGCCTTTCCAGACCAATCTGGACCATCCATGCCTTTTCGGACCACCCGGGCCTTTCCAGACCATCTAGGCAGATGCAGACCATCCACGCCTTTCCAGACCACCCAGGCCTTTCCAGACCATCTAGGCAGATGCAGACCATCCACGCCTTTCCAGACCACCCAGGCCTTTCCAGACCACCCAGGCCCTTCCAGATAATCCAGGCCTATTCAGACTATCCAGGCCTTTCCAGACAACCCAGGCCTTTCCACACCATCCACGCTGATCCAGGCCACCCGCACCTTACCGGACCACCCAGGCCCTTCCAGTCCAACCAGGCCAATCTAGACCATCCACACCTTTCCGGACCACCCAGGTCTTTCCAGACCAACCAGGCCCTTGCAGACCATCTGGCCGATCCAGGCCATCCGAGCCAAATGTCTCATCTCTGGTTCATATAATATGTACACAGAAGAAGGAGGAAGGGAGACCTACGGATTCAATGAGACTTAAAAGACCTTTCAAGTGAAAATATTTGGACAGGAGGCCAGGCGCACTGGCTCACACCTGTAGTGCCAACACTTTGGGTGGCCAAGGCAGGTGGTTCGCTTGAGCTCAGGAGTTTGAGATCAGCCCGGGAAACATAGGGAGACCCTGTCTCTACAAAAAACATAAAAATTAGCTGGGTGTGGTGGCGTGTGCCATTGGTCCCAGCTACTGAGGAGGCTGAGGTGGGAGAATCGCTTGGGCCCAGGCGGTTGAGGCTGCAGTGAGCTGTGATTGCACAGTTACACTCTAGCCTGGGTGACAGAGCAAGACCTTGTCTCAAAAAACAACTCCCCCGCCCCCCAAAAAAACAGACAGGACTTATGCAGTGTCTGGTGCCCCACCCTGGGTGACAAAACTACACGGAAACTCGTTGCTGCAGTGTGTGCCCATTCCAGATCATAGCCCCGAGACGCACACGCCTCTCCCCAGACTATGAATGCCAGCTGGCCAGGGCTCTGCAGATATAGTCACCACCACGGAGTTTAAGATGGGAGATGATCTGGGCCACACAGGTGTCTCCTACGGAATCACATGAGCCATTAAAGACAGAGAACTTTCTCCAGCTGAAGGCAGAAGAGATGAGGCAGGAAGGCCAGGGAGACCCAAAGTGTGAGGGGGACTTGACTGGGCCTTGCTGGTTCCGAAGGTGGAGGAGGGACCCTGGGCCAAAGTAAGAGGACAGTTGCAGCCGGGCGCGATGGCTCACACCTGTAATCCCAGCACCTTGGGAGGCCGAGGCGGGCGGATCACGAGGTCAGGAGATCGAGACCACGGTGAAACCCCGGGTCTACTAAAAATACAAAAAATTAGCCTGGCGCGGTGGCGGGCGCCTGTAGTCCCAGCTACTTGGGAGGCTGAGGCAGGAGAACAGTGTGAACCCGGGAGGCGGAGATTGCAGTGAGCCAAGATAGCACCACTGCACTCCAGCCTCGGCGACATAGTGAGACTCCGTCTCAAAAAAAAAAAAAAAAAGAGGACAGTTGTCAGAAGGCAAGAATGACCACCAGCCACCAGGCAGCGCAGGGCGGCCAGACCCCCGTCCTGTAGCCATACGGAGCTGAACTCCATCAACAACCACACTAGGCCTGCACCACGTGACCTCAGAGCCCCAGTCAGGGCAGCCACTGATACCTCCACCCAAGCCCAGCGAGACCCTGGCCAAGAATGAGGCCACAGCCTCGGGATGGCAACCTCTAGAACAGGAGGAACAGAGGCTGTTTTTGGTGGCCACATCTGCGGTCACCTGTTATGGTGGCTGCTGGCAACTGAAGCAGCAGCAAGTGGAGCTGGGGCTGCCGCGCCAGGTCAGGTGAGGTGGAGGCTGCTGCATGGCCGCAGGGCTAACTGGGGCCGCGCCTCCAACATGCAGCAAGGCCACCTTCATGTTGTTTAGGTTAAAAAAGCATGACAGCAAAAGGTCTGCCAAGCCTTCTGGCTCCGACTGGGGTCTCTGGCTCCTCAGCAGCTGCCCAGAGCCTGGCACCTGCCTTCTGCCTGGTGTGCTTGCCTCCCTGCCCCCAGCTGACCGGGGCCTCCACATCCAGACCCATGCACAGAGCTGTCTGCCCTGCATCCTCTCCTCCTGCCCAGGCCAGGCCCCCTCCAGCCAGTCCCCTCCTCCCACCCAGCCACAGAGACATCTGCCCTCCCTCCCCACCGGCCTCTGCCGCCTCCTCCTCAGGGAGGCGCACCCAGCATGGGGGCTCTACTCCCCACCTGAGTGGACGGAGGTCCTGCTGCAGTTCCCAGGGCATCCCCCAATGACGGATCCCCTACAACAGGGTGCCAGGCCCAGCCCAGCCAGCACCCTGGGGGACCCCTCTCAGTCCTCCCCAGCCCAGAGCTTGCACCGCCTGGCCTATGACAGGAGAGCTGTCTGTCAATGCAGCCCCACACCTCTCCTTCCAGCCACCAGAGCCTTCCCAGGCTTTGAGGCAGCTGGCCCTGCCCACCCCGTCCCCAGGGCTGGACATGGGTCTGCTGGAGTGGCCGCAGAGTGGCCAGGGCATCTGAAATGGCTATTCCTCCCGCCCCGCCCTGCCCAGTAGGGCTCACCGCAGCTTTGGCTTGGGGGTGCTAAGGACGCTGTCGTCGTCTTCCATGTCGGGGCCGCTGTCGCTGGGGTGCTCCATGTCCAGCGTGTCATATAGGAGGTCCAGGTCCTCCTCCGCCTCGGGGATGTGCTCCGCAGGGTCCTGCTCCGAGTCCAGGACCTGCATGGGTGCCAGGCAAGCGTGAGGACCAGGCAGGAGTTCCCTGCAGTGGCCCATGCTGCCCCGTTGGGGGCACCCGAGACCTCAGAGTCTGCGGGAACAATAGGAGGCGGGCGCCCAGCCACCAAACCCCACTGCTCAGCACGGCTGTAGTCCAGCTTCTGTCTTGGAGCTTGGGATGATCACCGAGGACCCCAGGCCCCCAGGTACCGGTGTGTGTGATGTTACTCCACCTTGCCTGCGCTGGTAGTCATCCGGGCCACCAGGGTGCACGGAGGGCTTGGGTGCAGGCAGGTGAGCTCTGACGGGTGTGGGCCACTGTGCAGCCACCACCACAACCAAGATACAAGCTGCTCCCCACACCCAGGAGGCTCCCCTCTGCCCTCCTCTAGTGCGTCCCCTCCTTCAGCCCCAGGCCCCACGGATCTTACTCTGTCCCTGTACGTTCTGCCCCTTCCCGAGTGCTATCTAAGAGGGATCACGCTGCCTGCAGCTCTGAGGGTAGTGGGGGGCATCATCCACCCAGTGTGGCACACTTCATGTTCCTCTGTGTCCCCATCCAAATCTCACCTTGAATTGTAACCCCCATAAGCTCCCCCGTGCCAAGGGTGGGACAGGTGGAGGTGACTGGTCCTGGGGGCGTTTCCTCCACGCTGTTCTCCTAATGAGCACGTCTTACGAGATCTGATGGTTTTATAAGTGTCTGGTATTTCCCCTGCTCGCACCCACTCCGACCTGCTGCCCCGTAAATAAGGTGCCTGCTTCACCTTCTGCCATGATTGAAAGCTTCCTGAGGCCTCCCCAGCCATGCTGAACTGAGTCAACTAAACCTCTTTCCTTTATAAACTTCCTCAGATGGTTCTGCAGTGCACCACTGAGTGGATGGACCCCAGTCTAACGGATCACCAGCTGACGGGCATTATGACCGTCACAGACGAAGCTGCTGCAAACGTCTGTGTGGGTCCATGCATGTGTGTGTTCACCTCCCTGAAGTCAACACTGAAGAATGGGGGTGCTGGGTGTCTGGCAACTGCTTCCTGTGGCTGCCACGCCACCTCACATTCCCCTGGCAGTGTATGGGTTCCCCTGTTACACTTCATCCTGTTGTATTCCATTTGTTCCAGCCATCCTAGTGGGGATCAAGCAGTGTCTCATTGTGGCTTGGTTTACATTTCCCTAATGACCAGTGATAATGATCATGATGATCACGTACTTATTGGCTACTTGTGTGTCTTTGAAGAAATCTATTCAGAAAGATCCCTATCCTTTTTTTTTTGGAGATGGAGTCTTGCACTGTCTGTCGCCCAGGCTGGAGTGCAGTGGTGCGATCTCGGCTCACTGTAAGCTCCACCTCCTGGGTTCATGCCATTCTCCGGCCTCAGCCTCCTGAGTAGCTGGGACTACAGGCGTCCGCCACCATGCCTGGCTAATTTTTTGTATTTTTAGTAGAGACAGGGTTTCACCATGTTAGCCAGGATGGTCTCGATCTCTTGATCTTGTGATCCACCCGCCTCGGCCTCCCAAAGTGCTGGGATTACAGGCGTGAGCCACTGCGCCCAGCCCGCTGCCCATTTTTTAATTGGACAATTCACTCTTCTTTGTTTTTGAGAAAGGGTCTTGCTTTGTTGCCCAGGCTAGAGTGCAGTGGCACGATCATAGTTCACTGTAGCCTCGACCTCCTGGGCTCAAGTGATCCTCCCACATCAGCCCCCAAAGTGCTGGAATTATAGGTGTGAGCCACTATGCCTGGTTCTGACAAGTGATAATCACTTTATTAAAATAGTTGGCTCAAGCATCTGCAATGGTGATGTCAATCACAGCTCGCAGCTCAATTCCAATGGAGCAATCAGCTTCACAATCCAGGATGGACCAGGCAGGTCCACGAGCCGCTTATGGATTCTCGTCTGGAAGTGATCCTGTGTCTGAGAACCTTCACAAGGTGTTTTTCTCTTAGTGATTCTCAAAGTCTTGGCAGGCATCAGAGCTGGTCCTTTCACTTTGAGATTCTTTTTCTCCGTGCCCCTGATAAGCCAGCACACACCTTCAGGGATTTTACATTGCAGCTGGTCAGGGTAATTCTAATTTAAGGAATCACCCCACCGGCTCCAGAGGTGTCCTTCTGGTGTCTTTAAAAGCCATGGCTGTGAGGTGGCTTCCTGGTCGACTTCTCGGCACAAGTAGACAGCAGTGAGTAGGGCTGGAGTGGGCGGGCCCTAGCTCCGTGGCACCTGAGACTGCATCGTTCTCAAAGCAATGGACAATTCAGCTTTTAACTGGATTGTTTGTGTCTTTATTTTTCAGTTATAAGCATTCTTTATGTGTTCTAGATTCACGCCCCTTATCACAAACATGATTTGCAAAAAATATTCTTCTGTTCTACTGTTTCGCTTTCTTGATGGCATTGTTTGGAGCACAAAAGTGTAAAATGTTGCTGTGGTCCAGGAAAACTTACCTTTTGTCGCCTGTGCTTTTGGTGTCACATCTAAGAAACCCCTGCCTAACCCAAGGTCATAAGATTGGCCCATTTTCTCCTAAGAGTTTTATCATCTTAGCTCACAGATGCAGATATTTGATCAATTTCAAGATTGTTTGTTTGTTTGTTTTTCTTTTGAGATGGAGTCTCACTCTGTCGCCCAGCCTGGAGTGCAATGGTGTGATCTTGGCTCACTGCAACCTCTGCCTCCCGGGTTCAAGCGTTTCTCCCACCTCAGGCTCCCAGGTAGCTGGGACTATAGGCACCTGCCATGATACGATGCCTGGCTAATTGTTTTTGTATTTTTAGTAGAGACAGGATTTCACCATGTTGGCCAGGCTAGTTTCAAACTCCTGACCTCAAGTGATCCACCTGCCTCAGCCATCTAAAGTGCTGGGATTACAGGTGTGAGCCACTGTACCCAGCTGATGCATTTTGAGTTAATTCTTGAATATAGTGTGAGGTAGGGGTCCAAATTCCTTTCGTTTGAGACAGGGTCTCACTCTGGTTGCCCAGGCTGGAGTGCAATGGCATGATCTCAGCTCACTGCAGCTTCCACCTCCTGGACTCAGGTGATTCTCCCACCTCAGCCTTCCGAGTAGCTGGGATTACAGGCACATACCACCATGCCTGGCCAATTTTTTGTATTTTTAGTAGAGATGGGGTTTCACTATGTGGACTTATGCAATCTGCCTGCCTCAGCCTCCCAGAGTGCTGGGATTACAGGCATGAGCCACCACAGCTGGCTGAAATTCCTTCTTGTGCACGTGGATATCCAGTGGTCCTAGCACCTTTCTTGAAGACTGTTCTTCCCCCATGGATATCTTGACATCCTTGTTCACCATCACTTGCCCATAAATGGAAGGGTTCACTTGTGGACTATCACCTCCATTCCACTCATCTCTATGCCTGTCCCTGGGCCAGCCCCGCACAGTCTGGATTACTACTGTGGTTTTGTAGTATGTTTTGAAATTGGGAAGTATAAATCTTTTTTCTTCAAGACTGGTCTGTCTGCCCTGAGTCCCTTGCATTTACATATAAATTTTAGCTGGTCAATTTCTACAAAAACACAGCTGGAATCTGATAGACACTGCGTTGAAGTTGTATATCAATTTAGGGAGTATTGCCACCTTAACAAGACTAAGTTTTCCAATTCATGAACATATGACATCTTTCCACTTATTTATATCTTCTTTCTTTAAAAAATGTTTCATAGTTTCACTGTATGAGTCTTACTTATTTTAAAAATCAGGTTGCTTTTCCTCCTGGGTTTGGAGAGTTTTTAATATATCTGTTGGATACAAACCTTTACCAGGTACGTTATTTGCAAATATCTTCTGTCAATCTGTGGCTTATCCTTTTTTTTTTTTTTGAGATGGAGTCTCGCTCTGTCACCCAGGCTGGAGTGCAGTGGCGTGATCTCAGCTCACTGCAAGCTCTGCATTCTCCTGCCTCAGCCTCCTGAGTAGCTGGGACTACAGGCGCCCGCCACCACGGCCAGCTAATTTTTCTGGATTTTTAGATGGGATTTCACCATGTTAGCCAGGATGGTCTCGATCTCCTGACCTCATGATCCACCCACCTCGGCCTCCCAAAGTGCTGGGATTACAGGCATGTGCCACCACGCCCAGCCAGCTTTTCATTCTTTTAACAGTATCTTTCAGAAAGCAAATTTCTACTTTTGTTTATTGTGTTACAAAATATAAAACATAATATTTTCCATTTTATCTATTTTTAGGTGTATAGTTCAGTGGCATTAGTGCAGGATTTAAGTTCATATTTTTTAAGGCTTAGAATCTACGTAATTTAAATTTTAGGCTTTTACATTTAGGAATATGATCCAGTCAAGCTGAATTCTGCACATGATGTGCACTGTCAAGCGTCAGTTTCTTTGTGAAAAGATACTTTCTCCGATGAACTTGGCACCCTTGTTGAAAATCAAGTGACTCGCTAGGTATGCCACCTTTTACAATGAAAAATACAGAAGGCAGCCCCCAGTGGAAGCTTTCCCTGTGAGCTGAAGCTGAGGGCTGTAGGGAACACACTTCACTCTGGTTCATCCTCACAGGACGGGTCCCAAGCAGAGCGCTGCTCTCCTCCTCACCAGACCCACTGTGTGGCACCTGGGCACAGGGCAGCCTGGATGCCGGTGCTCTGTGGTCAGCCTGGGGGCTGTGAACGTTTATACCTTCAAAATTCCTATGCTGAAACCTGACCACCAAGGTGCTAGAATTAGCAGGCGGGGCCTCCACCAGGTGGTTAGGGCCCGAGAGCTCTGCCCTGCTGAATGGGCTCGGCGCCCTGGTGAGGGACACCAGGTGGTTAGGGCCCGAGCTCTGCCCTGCTGAACGGGCTCGGCGCCCTGGTGAGGGAGGCTTGAGGGAGCTTGTCAGTCCCGTCCACCACACAAGACACTAAAGTGCCCTCTATGGGAAACAGGCCCTCAGACACCAAATCTACTGGCACTTTGAACTTGGACTCACAGCCTCCAGAACTGTGAGAAATACATTTTGGTTGTTTATCAATTTCCCAGTCTAAAGTATTTCGTTATAGCAGCATGAACAATCTCAGAGGCCTGTAATCCAGGCAGGCGACCTCGTCTCACTGTGCATCTCCTGCCCAATGAGGGTTGCTGTGAAGTCCTGGGCAGGGGGCAGTGCCAGGCGTGATGCTCCCAGTGGCCAAGACACAGGTTCAGAGCTGCAGTGGAGATGGTCTGGTCTTTGCAGGAAAGGGATGAGTGGAAAATCAGGAAAGAGATCCCATCGCTCCATTAACGTACTGTGTTGACCTGTGTGAATTTCACACAAAACTGCGCAATTATCCCTATGAAAATGATGTTCTCTCCCTGAACGGTGTCTGTGATGTTGGCCCATCTTTTCACAGTTTGGGTTGTGAGTCTCGGAACCATAATCTGTGTAAGTGAAATGCATTCTGGGACTCAGTTCAGTTGCCCACGTGAGTGCAGAATCCCACAGTCAAGATTCAACCAAGAACACCCACCCCTGAACCCACAGGTGCTCGACAGGGCTCAAGGAAGCCCCAGGCCAGGAAGCCGACTTGGCCAAGTCCCATCTTCAGCTGGACTTGGGAATGTTCCAATCCAAGATGCAAACCAAAAGACACAGGGGCCCGAGGACCACCCCAGTAGTGGAGGTGCCCTTCCTCTGCAGCCAGTTGGTGATGTTACGCTGTTCTCAGAAATGCTGCCTGCCCCACCGGGCCACAAATCACCTGTTTCGGCACATGCACTTGACAGCCTCGCTGAGTGTGTGCCCCGGAGGCTGATCCAGGTGCATCCCGAGTATGTTAGGACACAGCGCCATCTACAGGCAGCGTGCTCTCAGGCCGACAGGCGACAACACTGCTTCAGGGCTGAAATGCTTAAATGCCACCTCTTCACTTCCGGTCCTGAACCCAGGCACGTTTTTCTTCTGACATTAAAGAAACAACAAAGGCTGGATGTGGTGGCTCATGCCTGTAATCCCAGCACTTTGGGAGGCCGAGGCAAGCAGATCACTTGAGGCCAGGAGTTCAAGACCAGCTTGGCCAACAGGGTGAAACCCTGTTGAACCCAGGA